ACAATCAAATCTTCTTTTATATTGTACTTTTCCTAAACATTTATTGACATGATACAAGTCATATGCAATGCCCTTAACACTGTTGTCTTTTTTAAACCATGATATATCGCTCTTTTTTACCTTTTATCTTTCAAGATGCCAAGAAAGGTTTAAGATACGCTTTATTCAGAACGAAACGTACACTTGTATAGTTACAAAACGGCTGATGACTATATCATCAACAGAATACAGATTAGGTTGTATTAGGTTATCCAAAAAGGTTCTGTTACGTCTGATCTACTTTGTTCTACAGTTATTTCTACATATCTTTTTATTCTATTTTTTGTTCTACAGTTAGAACAAAATGGATTATATATAATACAATAAAATAATACAAAACTAAAAATGTTGTGCGTCTATTATTTCCTTATAGAACGGAAGAAACTTTTGGGACAACCTAATACGTTTATTTAGACGCTGTCTGATAAGGCGGTATGCGAAGATCGCAGAAAGAACTTTTGGGACAATCTAATAATTCTAACTTTAATATTTTGTTGCATATTCATTTGCATTGTAAAGCGACTTCTAAGAGTTTCGGTATACGTTCGACTAATTTTGTTTGCAATGAATCTTGTGTTTTGAACACAAAGAAAAGACCGTTAGAAAAGACCGATTTTTACAAATATTTTGGATGCGTCATGTAAATGAAGTAACAAATGAAGCACAAAAGCACAAAATCTAAATTTATGTTCATGCGGATGCCAATATTAGTTACATAAAAATCCTTTTGCCATGTTATGGCATTTTCACGACTGAGAAATTAGTCAGACCTAATCTCCCAATAAGTACAAGAATAGTTTTACAGTTGTACCAAAACTTATCACAATCAAACCTTGAAGCTGCAGGATACCATATTTATGCCGACCATTATTTTACTTGTATTCCCTTGGCTGATGCATTTATTAAGCATGAAATGTCACATAACTGGAACTATTCGAACTAATAGAAAATTTATTTCGAATAATATATAAAATCGAAAAATTGCAGAAAATGAAATCGTTGCCTACGGACGCAGACATATTACTACCCTTGGAGAGACAAACGAATCGTGACTATGTTTAGCACTTGTGCTACCACACAATGAAAAACATCACTAAAAGAACACGAAGAGAAGGAGCAACCAATATAGTGAAGCCAAATGTCGGATAAATTACGATAAACATGAGGTGGTTTAAGATGTAAGTGCCCAAGAAATGCTATAGATGTTCAACAATATAGTTTATTAATGACCAACAGTCAACAATCAACGCTCCACGTTTTTCGACTATGTTTGCTTCGCTGTTACACTGGACCCTCCACACTTCGCTGTTCAAGGCCTAATGAATCTTTGGACAGATTCTTTTCTTTTCTTGCCCCTCGATATCCGTACTACGCACGCGTTCGTTAGGCGTTCGCGACCGTTGCCACGTACGTCTTCTTCCAAATATTCGACGGAAGGACCGTAGGGATATCGATGGCACATTAAGCACGTCGGCCTTACACTTTCATGATATAGCGCTTTGTGTCGCGAAGCCGTCGAAAAGAGTTCCGTCGTCAAGTGCCGCCACGAATATATGGGCGGTGTCGACAAAGCAGACCAGTATATAGTTACATACCGTTTTATACGAAAGTCCCAAAAATGGTGGCGAAAATTACTTTTTTGCGGATTGGAAAGATCAACAATAATTTCTTACTTATTATATAACGCAAACCAGAAGAAAAAGAATAAAAAGAAAATAACGCATTTACAATTCGTACATCGCGTGATGGGTCAATTAATTGGGCATTTTCGTGACGCCGACCTCAAGAATACTTCATCAACTTCTGGAACAGCTGAAAGACTGAACGGCCTTTTACATGTCATTCGGCGAGATGTCACAGAAGGAAGTAAAGATCGTGTGGTATGTTGCAATCGGAAAATCAAAGGTAGAAGAAGAGAATCAGTGTACTATTATGCCAATCGTTTGGTTAAACCGGCCCTGTATACACGCAATTGCTTCGAAAAATACCACACCGTGCAAGTATATGAAAGGAGTCATAAACGTAGCAAAAGTAAGTATCTTTTCCTGGATTTTGACAAAAAAATCCTGTTATATTCAAACAAAGTCCTAGTTTTTATTACGCAAATGTTTTCTCGCATAGCATTAACACCAATGAATAAACGGATAACAGAAGAATTAAATGTGGAACTAGTACAGTGCATAAAAATACTCTCGAAACCAAGCGGAAACATGAAAAGATCAAATTCCATACCCGGATTACCTATAGAAATCATACCTATAGAAATCATCTAAAGCACAAAAGATAAAAACAAGAAAAAAGGATAGTAACATGGGGAACCAATCATCCTACAAAGAATTAGTACATTAAAATAAAAGATCAAACGCAACGGTGAAAAATTACTAGCGTTGCTGGAAAAGAAGAAGAACAGCAGAATAACAGAGAAACAAAGAGAATGAATACGAAATTAGGAAAGCTTTCCACAACTTCATAAGAAACTACTGGAAAAGTAGAATGGAAAACATATCCAAATAAAAACCCAAAGAACTTTCACCATCGATTAAGTGCGTCTTCCGCCCAAAAAACCACAACATAAGTGATATACTCTGACACAACCAGAACAGATACAAATAGGAACTCATGAAAGCCAACATGTACCGTCACACAAGTCGACGAAGACAATAAGATAATCATTATCGATAACCATGAGAAACTAAACATACTAACATAGGGAAATAACATTTATTGTCTGGATGGCTATAAAGTATAAGGAGAAAGTTTAGGATATTGGCAAAGACGCCTGAATTCCAACTGAAATATTCAGCATATATCGAATGGGAAAAACGGTCAGAGTCTACTTGGGGGTACGTGTCTGCTGGGCCGCATGGGCACGCTCCGCGTTGCATAGATGAAACCTCGTGAGTATCTCCACGATACTAAAGGGCCTAAAAAGGCTAATTTGGGAAGTCATAAACTAATCGTCTATACTAAGAGCACGCATTGAAACAGTCCACACACAAAATAGCCACATAAGAATATATCAAGTAACAAACATAATCGCACAAACAACGAACAAACTGACGCAACGCATACTAAGTTGACAAGCCAGCCTTCATTCTATCTAACATTTCTACAAATTGAAATAAGTTAGATCAAACCTTCAAAAATGAACAATAAAAAAAATTATCGAATTTGGTAACATTGATTTAAAAGAACCTACCTACCATATTTACGCACCTTTCACACATCTACTCCTGCAGCATAATATTTAACAATTGCCTAAACGTCAACTATTTCTCCATTCTGGAAAACAAGGAAGGCAGTAGCATTAAAAAAAGACGGAAAAGCAACGGTGATCTTGCCAGCTATACCAATGAATTAGACTCTTACCCAACATTAATGAAGTGTCCGAATCTATGATAAATAACACTATATACATTGAAAATAACCTAATTCCGGGCACCCAATTTGGCTTCAAATTTAAACATTCAACGATACATGCAATTACAAAATTCACCATATATCTCTTGGGCAAGAGACGAGAGTGATTGCGTCGAAGCGGTGTTCATAGATTTAGAGAGGGCATTCAACGCATTTTGGCTGGATTTCTTTCTTTAAGCTGGAAAAAGGAGCTTTCCACACCACGCAATAAAAATAATTTGGAAATCACAAATTAATATATGCAAATTCAAAACAATTCTATTCGGGTCGTACATTTCCAAAATATCAGATGCAAAAAAAAAAAAAAATTTCGCCTATACGACATCTACTATACAATAGCAAGATATCCATTCCTCACAAAAAATCGTTCGCTATTTAGATATACATTTGGATTTCAAATGGAACAAACACGAATCTACTGCAAACAACTAAATAATGAAGTAAAAATATTCTGCTGCAAACTTCTAATAAGGCTGATCCTGACGTACGGTTGTATCGTACGGTTGTCCGATTTGATTTAAACAGAAAAGCCAAATTGGTTCGAATGTAAGTGTCTGAGATCATACTCAATATATATTTAGCCATTATATACCATTTATAGGTTTTAGATATTTTTTGTACAGTAATATCGAATAACAAAACCGGTTATTTCAGCCAACGCTCATACCGCATTCAGTACACTCGTTCTCGCACTCTTCTCCCGAAGAAAGGAAAAACAATATTGTAGAAAAGTACCACTTTTGTAGCGACTTAAATTCAACCATTAACTGTAATGTTAAAAATGTAAATCCGACACAAAATATTGTATGGCTACGTCATACCGTCGCGTAACGGTACTTTTGCCAAAACCACATTCCAAGTGAAATTTTTTCATTAGTGAGAATATACACGTGTAATATATACTTTCTCGGGCAATAAAATATATATATATGTCGGGTTCACATTATGATTAAGGTTAGGGGCGTGAAACGAATCTTCATTTGGATTAGACATTATTGTTATGCAATATTTACTAGTGCAAATAACATTATTACAGAATTTGATAAGTAATCGTGGTAATTAGATATTCGAGAGCCAATGACAATGATCCTAGGTTCAATAACGAATCCGCGGTCAACGGGATAACAAAATGCCCTTTTGTTCAAAGTCCAAGTTCTACTCAACTTGCTTGTCTACGGTACAAATATTACTAAACTAACCCTTTGTTAAAACGTAGAATATTCACTGAGCGTAAAGACGCTATGTAACTCGCTGATGTGACCTCACGAGAGAATAACTTTCCGTCGCGATGATGTTGCAGAGGAAATCTATGATGGGGTGTGTCGAAGGACACGAGATCATCGGATTCGCGGAGATATGCCTTCGTTCGGAAAGTGAGGGAAAGTGAGGGAAAGTGACGTTGAGAGAAAGTTGCTACAGGGAAACGTCGTTCGTGAGAAACATAGATTTCCCCTATCTCCCCGTAGTTGGGAAAAAGACTGTTTGTCTATTTGAAGGACCTTAGTTAACTAAATCTTAAGATTTATAACGGGTCCTCAGACTAGCTGAACATGTACTGTGGAGATGAAGAGGGTCTGCGTGCCGCGATCCACGGACAGAAAATGTTGGAATGTTTACTGTTGAGTGCCGCTACAACAATTTTTTTTTTGTTGAGGTTATTTGGTGTATAAACAGAGAAACTCGTGGATAAATTGTAAGGTAGAAAATATATTTTCCTACAAAAGTGAAATTATAAGTAAGAATACAATTTGAACTGATCCAAATCCGCACGCTAGCAGTGTTACCCTATAACTGAAAACCCCGAAGCCAACGTCGCCTGTCTACTGTTTATGGTCTGCCTTCGTCGCAGTCTTTTGTCTGTACGCTATCGATGGCTTCAGTGCTTGAGAAAACTAAAAAGACCAGATGTAGAGTTTTCTTAGAAGTGATGACCACTTCAACACTTTTTGAGGAGAGCTACGCTATTACTCCATACCTTTGTTAGACAAAACGTTGATCCCTTGACCACGGCTACGTTCGGCGACTGATTGTCGCCTCGAGCCGAAGCTCATTGTTACAAATCTCGAGCAAATACAATCGGATTGAATGACGACAATTGTTTAATTACGGCTATGGTAGAATCTAGGTTACAGTGTTAAGGGATTTTCCCAAAGTTCGAAAGGGAAGGTTCCGGTGTCCTTTCATCTCCGACATATAGAAATATAAATAACACTCGTTCTCGTCCATTTACGGAAGTCAAGCAGCACTGAGCATGGATAGTACTTAGATAGGTTACTATAATAGTCATAATTAGTGTCATAATAGTCATAATTAATAGTCATAATTTAGAACATGTTACGTAACAGCCAGAACAGTTCGAACGAAGTATCTAAAATCAAAGACAACCCATAACAAGAAGCCGTGCACTCCCCTATTTTATTTAATTTATTGCGATGTAAATTGTAGCGCAAATAGCGATAAAAATAATGAAGCAATAACATTCGCTAATGACCTACTAATATGCGCGAGAGACAATAAAGCTTTAAAATCCGAAAGCCATCTACAACAAATATTGGACAAAATGTATGGCTATTTATGGACAGTAGAAGTTAATATAAGCAAGTAAAAGACAATTTTATTCTAGCTGTACATCTCCGAAATATCAGGGACAAAATACGATGTACACAGCTATGTCAAGAAATTTCGCTTATACGGCAGCAACAATAACAACCAACCAATGTTTCCTGCAATGGAAACACGAATTGAAGCCTAGATTGAAAAACACGATTTCAAACTACTTGCCCAGGCTGTTGTCTTAGAATCATCTCATTATCAGTCCAACAATTCCAGAACAATCACTGAGTAGAAGTAAATGAAATTGATAAATAACGAATTCTTTGCAATAATAATACTTAATGAATAAAATGGAGATATTTTGCAAATGGGTCCAGTCAATGGACTGCCCTTAAAAGATGCAAAAGGTTTCATCTCGATAGCTCGATCCAATCCAGAATAACTGATGAATTTGTATACATAAAAATTGGATTTTTGTAAAAAAAAAAAAAAATAGTTTACAAAGAAGAAATGGAAAAATATTTTATATCTGAACCAACGGGAAATTATGTCTTACAAGGTAAGGCAAAAAGTGTAATTCCGATTGATCAAGCCGTTTCCGAAAAATCGGTAAACATAACAAAAAGAAAAATATACATGTCGAATTGAGACATTTTCTACCTTTTCCAATGTCGATGTCATGAAATGTAAACCTCTTTTCGCATTTCTAGCAACAACTTCTAAGTCAGTATTGTGTACTAAAATAGCACCTAATATATTTGATAATATAATTGATTAGTTTCAATTCCATTCTTTTTAAACAAAAAATGCTATTGGTTATTTCCAATTACTGAGTAAATCGCTTATCATGAAAAACTGCGCACTACTTGTTTTCCTGCAAAATTCGAAATCCTCAAAACCTCCAATAATTTGTTCATTTCAGTGGAAACTAAAATATCTCTTTATTGAAATTTTTTCGTATAGAAGGACACAATTCCCGTCAAAATCACTTTTTTCGCTACTTTAATTCTTAACGAATCAAATAAATTTCGACATGTACCTAACCAAGTATTAATTACATTGAACCAATGAATGATTATGCCAGGACTTGAAATATTAAACGTGCGAGTATCACGAATTTCTATTCAGAGAAAGTGAAACGTAATATGGCGTTAGAAAAACATTATTCGTCTGCCAGGAAGAGATAACTGCATCGGTATAAATATTAAACTGAAACCACAGACTCTACGCGCGTTTGCTTTTTTCAGGCATACATCACTAATGTTACCTGAAGATAAATTCTTGCCTACGCTTTCTAGTGCTTTACGCTTCACTCACTCTCTCGTTGTCTTGCTTGAATACAAACAAAAAATAGCATTCTTCCCTACTCTTCCAAAAGAACAAAAATTATTTTTAATAGCGATACGTTACAATTTATAATCGTACGTCTATTACAATCTGTTGTTTTTATTTTAAAACAAACAGATTAAAACAAACAGGTTATTATATTAACTGCAATTTTGTGGTATACTTACTTAACACGCAAAATAACAAGTCATCTGGTGGCACTAATTGATATCTATTTTTATTTTATGCATTTCATAGTAAAAGATCATTCGCATTTATATATTAACCCAAATATAATATAATCTTAAACCTAAATTTACTAATTGTGGATATTTATTGACAGATAGTGATTTAAAAATTCATACCTATACTCATTCCTATTTTGCACATTTTTTTGTTTTGAGAGGAGAGGAGAATGCAGTTACGAATAACTAGGTACGTTAGCGCGCGCCTGGATTATGCGGGGCTTGGCAAGATGATAGCACCTCTACCCACTAAAAAAACCCCTGCTCTGTCTCTCTCCTCTATCGGTGTAAGAACCAATCCTGGAAACACCTTTCGGCATTACTTCAGGGTTGGTCTTCTTACTAAGTGTACCACTCATCTTATTATGATCTTTTTCTAGTTAATCCTCTCCTTCTTCTCTCCGTGTTCCTCTCCTTATCTTGTCTATCTGATTGAGCTATCATTATCTTTCGGCAAAGCCCTTGGAATCTAGCCCAGTTCTCCTCGCTATTGACGACCACGTCGGTTACGTTATTGGTTGCCAGTATTTCGCCTACGCAATTATCCAACAATGTTCTTCCATTGTCCCATCTGGGGCAATTGAACAACGCATGCTCTACATCTTCACCTTCGGCATCACAATCCCAGCATCTCGGATGTGTCTCTTTCCCAATCGTTCTCCATCACAAATGCAGGCGTCGTCAATCAGCTTTCTAATCCAATTTTCCTCTCTGCAATAGAGCTACTCTTCCCTTCATCTTGTCTTCGATCGCTATCGACATCTTCGGAATGTTCTTGTTTTCCGTATTGTTAGGGCTTTGACTCATAGCGGTGTGGCATAAAGCACCACCGACTCCCGCACTCCATAATAGTTTCCTAACTGTCGGTGGGCCCATTGACATGCTGCAACGATGTCCTAATCGCTCCCATTAGGTCATCAACCATGACACAGACCTTTCCTAGATGTAATGAGAATTTTTTATTAATGTCCTATTGCACCCCAAGATACCTAACCTCCTGTTTAGTCATCAACAGGTAGTTGCCCATATTGACGTCCTTGACCTTGTGATACGATATCCGGGAAGTAGAATCACCTCCGTTTTGTCTTGAGCTAATTTCAATCCAGTTTCGGTGCACCACCGATTCTTCCGCTACTTCAATATCGGGCCTACCATCAATCGTGGGACTCCTCTGAATCTTCCTACTAGGCTTCAAGGGATCACCTTCCTCGTCCTCCCTAGTCCTTGGTGCAACCGATATGGTGACGTCGTCACTTATTCTGACGTCTGACACCATCCTTGGGTTTTCAATACTAACCGCCAACCTCTTGCTGTTCGCCTTTGCCCCAGTCGCTGTTACTGTACAAGGGGATGCCTGGGGTTCCACCTCCTAGCCAAAACCGTCCGAATGTATCCAATCATAACCGAAAGAACTCGCCAAGTCGTCAACAAAAAGCCAGTATAATAGAAATAAAACATATATAACGAACAAATAAATAAATAAATATCCAAGAGGAAAACATAGTAATATCCTTATAAATAAATATTATCTTAGAAATTTATACAAAGCTAAAATAAACTAAATCTATCAAGCTAAATTTATATAACGCTAAAATAAACTAAATATATCAAGCTAACCCCTGCGCTTCAATAAGAGACCTGATGATACATCCGCAGATCACCGCATGTATAAATAGATAATATAGTAATAAATAAATAAACAACCAGCTAACTAAGTAAATAAATAAACAATATCAAAATAAATAATAAATAAATAATCGATAAATAGTTAAATAAATAAACGAGTGAAGTAAATAAATAATATAAATAACAAATGCATATATCTGCATTCCCCAACCCACCCGACACCGCGCAACTCAAATAAAGCCTCCACGTACGCAGCACCCTTCATAGTCATTTATTCTTATTTATTCACCAAGGAAGTTCGGCTCGAGTGGCGAAATAAATAAAATAAATAAAATAAACGATATATAACTAGAGCTCTGGTCGACCCGACTTTATTTCTTCATATTAGGAACTTAAGTCGAGCCGGCCGTACATACTGTAGTGTGCTGCCCGTAAAGTGGCGACGCCACACATCGGCGCGACAAACCACCTCGCCTGCACATCGTTCGGCACCACGCGTACATCCTGCAACTACCATTACAATAATGGCGTCAAATCTATCCATGTGCGCGTCTCGATATTAAAGAAAGTCGCGAGTGCTACATCAGATCCAGTGATACTCAATAACAATTCTTACTCGCCAGTACAAACTCTACGGCGAATACATTTCCTGAAATGTATATACGTGTGTGTTCGTAATTACTAAATATAATTATTACAATATATCGATACTGATATCATGCGAAGAAAGGTCCCGCGACGCGTGGATATCTTACATTGAACATTTCTCATTGTGATATTTACTTATAGTGACAGAGTAAAATACCCTCCATACCCGAACAAAGAAAGGGAGAATGACAGCCGAGTTAAACGCGAAATGGTGCGTACATTCTAAATACATACAACCTTCATATTATTAACAAAACATATAAGTGTAGTAACGGATGGTTTCTTAGAGTAAGGACAAGTGATGATGGTAGAGTTCAAAGTTTAAGGTATTTTAATAAGTGATATTTAATAACAAAAGGACAGACTACAATATCGTCGTACGCCGACTCGCACTCCGTATCCGCTCAGCTCGCACTCTGCTTCTCGACTGGATCTCTGGCCGCTTTAGCACTCTATTGTCTTTTGCTAGGCCCACCGCACACGTGTTCTACAGACGCTCGTAGCCAGGGTCACGTAGGTCTTTTCGGCAAAGCTATTTATATTTATATTTATACCTGAAGGACCAGGTAATGCATTGATGGAGCCGACAGCGCCTCAGCTCTCGCGACATTGTCTGTAGTTTCCTGGGCCCTTCTCCCCGATACTACATAAGTATAAGTAAGAATAGGAATATTATTACTTACAGACCTCCGCATAACCTTATCCGGTCACTGCGTCGCATGACAAGCCACACTTCTCCAGCAAAGTAATAAAATACTGCACTATCTCATGATCACTTGTATCGATAGTCAAATATTAAATATAATAATATGTAGAATCCAGTAATATACACTGCTACTCTAAACCCATACGATATCTATTTACAG